GGAGAGAGCTGTAACTGAAGCCCCTCAAAGACGCTGTTCCCCCGGGTTAGTCGAGAGCAGTTAGCTCTGAGATTCTGCTGCTGGCACAGTGGAAGAATTTACTGGTCAAATCCAATTTGTTGTTTATGTTTTAAATATCCAACATCGTTATGAACTTAAAGGTGCATTTTGTGATTCCCCTTTATGAACGTTAACTAAAACTATCACCACCAGGGGGCAGGCTTTTCAGAAAGTATAACAACACGTGTGCTGCTCTTCTTTTAACTTCTTGTGTTTTGCATCCCTCACTCCACAGGCTGCATTATAGGAACAGCTGTCTTTAAGGCTACATTTACTTACGTTGACCCTGCTGAGCCGCTGCTTTCAGGAAATTCTTTCAATTGAGCGCCTGGTTCATGAGTTATGGGAATTACAGATGTTTAAAAGAACATTGCAGTGCCTGTGTGACCCCGGTGACCGGCTCTAAAGGGTTAAACACTGTTGAAAGTACTTACTGAAATGGGCATGTTGGACTGTGCTGACCTCTGCTGCCAGGTCACGAACAGGTTCTCTATCTTCATCTGCTTCTCTAATTCTGTAAGAATAAAAACAAAGCCATTAATTTCTCAAACTGACATCATGTTTAATGTACAAGTCGAACTATTCACCTCTTCGCTCGGCAGCTTTGATCTCCAACAGCTGGCTGCCATGTCGAGCCACCACATCTCCGTCCATCAAAGGTCGAATGGTGCAGACGTCCCTCAGAGCTTCATCAAAGGGAAGCAGCTCGGAGGGAAAGTGGAGCGGAGCAAGGCTTCGACCGGAGTTTCCCAGTCTGCCCTGCTCCTTACTGGGCAGAGGGGGGACGGCGCTACGCAGCAACGCATCAGGCTCCATGGAGGGACCGAGGAATGGGTTGGGATCCTGATCAAGATAGAGAATAACTCGATAATTAATGACGCCATCACCTCACTTAGCACCTAAATACTTCCTGAGTAACCTCAGAAACACTTTTATTACATAGTTGTTGAGTGAATCGCGGTTTCCTGTCTGGCCAAGCAGGCTTTCACCGGGCTACTGTTAGCAAATGCTAGCTTATATTAGAGGTGGGAATCACCATACATCCCACGATACGATATTATT